GCGGGAGTGCTGGGAACGTAATGGAACGGGAGTTGGGCACGGACTCTCCTCTGTTGTCAGAAACAGTGGTGTAGTCGGTACAAAATAATGGACAAGAAAAAGAGTGTAAAAGTCGCGAAGACGGCGGGAATGGAATCGGACCAGGGCATCCGTGAGTGGGTCTACTCTTCATATGGTCGAGCGGCTGTGTTCAAGCATGCAGTAGTTCAAATGCAAGCTGATAGATGGCAAGGATGGTGAGTACGATAAGGATGGCGATAATGAGGCTGAGGTCAGTTTCGTAGTTGGAACCGTTCATCAGCAGGATTTCGCCAGTTTCAGAGGTGCTCGTGACTGTCAACAATACGATTGTTAACAGAAGAGCGAGCCGGAGTAATAGGGAGAAGGGATTCGTTTTTTAAATCCGTAGGAGACCAACGTAGGCCGCTACGAGCAAGGTTGCTAGTAGTGGTGCCAGGATGGTCGCTAGGACGAAAAGGGTAGTCACAAGGACTATGAGGACGATGGTGAGTATGGGGTCTGGTAACACGAGTGGAAGGATCCAATCGGCTACTAGGAGTACGAGGATGAAAAGATAAATGTTGGGCAACGGTAAATTGTTGAGCAACAAGGGACAAGCTTTGGCTAAATGTTAACAACCAACTAATAATCGACTTGGATCGAACTAGGATCTCCACTCGCACTTCGGTGGAAGATACTCTAGCAAGTCAAAGGCGATGTCAAAGCGGATTGCATGCACGTAGACGTGAAGAACGGAGTTCGAGTTAGGTAGATTAAACCTTAGCTGAAGCTGGGGTTTAGGCCAGCTGAGGCTCTACTTAAATACAAGTGGATACGCTAATAATAGTATGGTGGAAAATGATCTGAAGGGATCGCATATGAGTAATCAAGCTGAGTAAAACGAAGAAAATGATTAAACCGTAACATCACTATTCATCTAATCGTGTCTTAAAACCTCGCTAGCATGGGTATTACATCTTGTGTAGCTCACTAGTACCAAATATACGTCTTTAAACAACCTTTCCCTGATTTGTTGAAGTCTGCAGAGTGCTTCTATCGTACTCGAAACACCCAAACTCAATAATATTGGTGATTAGTGTAGAGTAGTAGAGGGTTTTGGTGTTGTGGTGTTCATATCTATTCACTAGCCTTTTGTCACTCACCGTTACCGAGCACATCACTGATCAGGGTTTGGTATTCATCTCCAAGTTCATGAAGGAGTTCTATGCTCTTATTCACATCCAAGGGAATCCCTCCACCGTGTACCATCCTCAAACAGACGGGCAGACCGAAAGAGTCAACCAAGAGGTGGAAAAATACCTAAAAATGTTCATTGCCTATCGACAAGATGACTGGAGCGAATGGTTACCGTTAGCTGCCTTTACCCACAATAATCGTCAGCATTCAGCGACCGGCTACTCTCCTTATAAAGTAATATTTGGGAGGGATGGACAAACTCTTGCCGACTCTCATGGAATGACCATGGTTCCCACAGCAGCCCAATTAGTAGAAGAAATGAAAAAGGCACAAGCAGAGGCGAAGTTATCCCTGGAAAATTCAGCAGAGGCGATGAAAAAGGCTTATGACAAACATTGAGAAGCCACTCTCGAATATCAACCTGGGGACAAGGTATGGCTCGATGCCACTAACCTCCACCTTCCATGGCCCACCAAGAAACTTGGGGATTGACGAGTAGGCCCCTTTACCGTCATCGCTAAAAAGGGGGCATCCGCCTATGAGCTCAGATTACTGACCGGATGGAAGATCCACAACCATTTTAACGAGTCGCTCCTAACCCCTTACGAACCGCCAGCCTTTGATAATCAACCATGACCTGACTGCCCCCCTCCCGAACTCATAGACAAGGAGGAAGAGTATGAGATCGAAGAGATCATAGAACAAAGGGATAAGGTAGTCGGTCGAGGTCGAAAATGTCAAACCATCACCGAGTACCTCATCAAATAGAAGGGGTATCCAATGGATGAAAACTCATGGGTAAAAAGATCCAATATGGCCAATGCAGAAGAACTAGTCAACGAATATGAAGCTAAAGTACATCACATCAGAGACCAAATTCATCATGCCGACGACAGCCTACCCTATGATAACCTCGCCTCACAAGAGACTTGTTCATCATCATCCCTATCCTCAAAAAGTATTCTCACACAAAATTGGCACCCAGCTTTCAACCCAGAACTCGAAGAAGATTACCTGCATTCAAAATGGCCCACTGTAACCACCGACGAAGCGGATGGCATACCAATGGTTGAAACAGACGACTCAGAGGAGCTGGATCTTGAAAACCTACAATGAGTCCACGAAAATTGGGACTCAGATGCGGAAGAAGATGATATGCTATCCTTCTACTCGGAATCTCGACCTTCACATTCAGAAGAAGAGACGGCAAGCACAACCTCATTCGGGATGAATGAGTCTTAAGAGGGGGGTAATGTTACGGTTTATTCATTTTCTTTTCCTTTTCTGACTCATACCTGCTTATTCATGTATGATCAATGCGCATCCGAGTTCTCACAGTACTATTATTAGTCTATCATCATGTATTTAAGTGGTAGCCTTTGCTGGCCTAAACCCCAGCTACGGCTAAGGTCTAATCTACCCAATATTGTACTCCTTGCTGCATGACTATCTAAGTCCTTGACTGGCTATCCTAATCCACTTTGACCTGCAACTGTATCGTTCCACCAAAGTGCAAGTGGCGATCGTCGTTTGATCTAAGTCGATTTAGTTGGTTGTTGACAAAAGGTGTCCATGCAACATCTCCATCTTGACATGCTCAAGGCCATGGATAGTCTAACAACAGCCAAGATCGATCAGTCCCATTATGCTAATCAGTCCCAGGGTCCCAAAATTGTGTACAAGATCGGAGACCGTGTTGTTATGGATCTCGTGTATTTTTCAGCCTGCACATGAGTCAACACATGCCTACTCTTGGCCTTCTCGGTCTTGACCTCGGCTTACTGATACTTTCTACTATTTTCTCTTACTTTCTCTGTTCTTCTTGCTGATACTAGAATACTATGGAATATTGTAGAATTATAATGACTCAATGCCTTACTAGTAGCATATAAATATTGTCTTTACCATTGTATTAGGATCTCTTAATCTAATTTTACCCATCTTCATACATCCACTTAACTGTGTGATTTAAGCAACCCTGATCGGTTATGCCTAGCGCTTGCCAATCAACTGCTTTCCAACTACGCCTAGCACTTGCTGACGCCCCCATTAATTATGCCTAGTGCTTGTTAACACCCTTACAGATCCCTCTTGGTGGTTGGAAATCGGCTTATGGACATCCTCGCTCACAACTTAGGTTTTACTCGAGTACTCATTACCTTGTGTATTAGCTCAAATACCCTGATTCTTAACACACATCATGCTTTCGATGGCAAATCACAGGAAGGAGTACTGCCATAAGTCAGCAAAGAGGTGTGGCAAGTTTATGCCTAGATTTGATGGACCCTTTACAGTTGTCAATGCGAACCCAGAAAAATCAACATATACGCTGGACATACCATCCTCCTCCATACACCCCACATTCCATGCCTCACTCCTCAAACCATATCATGTGAACGATGTCTCCTTGTTTCCAGCATGTGAGCCACCCCGTCCGGGACTGATCATCACCAAAAACAGTGCTGAGGAATACACAGTCGACAAAATTGTGGACGCACGACACTGGGGCAGAGGATGGCGATACCTCATCCAGTATGTGGGATATGGCCCGGAAGATGATGAGTGGTTGCCAGGGGCTGAACTCGAGGACAACGAGGCGTTGGATGTGTGGTTGAGAGAAAACCCCCATTGATCTGTGCTACCCAAACTAATTTTTTAAAGATGGTGAGGGTGTAACCACGCTGTGGATTACTACTACGACGCATATGTACACATGTTTGCCTAGACCATTAGATACATCCATGGACACTATGCGATCCGCTTAGACTAACCTTACCTTTGTTCTTCTATGTTCTTCATGCAATAGAGTTGTTGCCTATTCTATTGCGTGTTGCTCAGTGTTCCCAACACCGGTCGGGTTCCACACAGCGAAGAAACTAGAAGCCCATTAGATTCTGCTGTGTCTGTATTGTGCCGCATACTCACTGGTGAGACGGATGAGGGGGCTCCCATGGGGAGGCTGAGACCGCATATGATGAATATGGACAGTTACGTGCTGAGGGAGCGGCTGACACCTGTAGAAGAGCATGAGATGAGAGGGAGACCTGAGTAATGAGATCTCGTACCAATTAGACTAGTGTAAATAACCTTTCTTTAAACCTGAAAATCGAACAAAGGTTCACTAAATGGAGTTAGCTGGAATTGGGCCAAATGTCAGATCCGATTCACTTGTACACTTTCTTTACTCATCGATAGACCTGTAACTGATTGTCTTGAATGGGAGGCAAGCTCACGATCAAGATGACCTGTAAATCTGAGCTCAAATTTGGCTGATACATTTTTGCTTATCACATACCTTCCTAATTAGAATTATATACCTAATTGGGAACTGCCTGTCCCTTGATTGAGAACCGCATTGCGTTTGTGTTAATTCTTTTTTCACCAACAACAGAGGCATGTCTTCCCCCAACGAGGAAGCAAATTCATTCTCCAATGTCTTCCAAACCAGTTTCGGCTTTGAGCCCTCCCCTGTTACCCCTGTAGCATCATCTAGCACAGTATTCTCATTACCTGGCCATCGGCAACCAAGATGAACATTTGCTCCAGCTTTCCATGTTCCCCCAACACCATTAACCCGTTCGAGCTCCCTCCCCAGTCCACATACTCCTAGTATTGTCTCCTCATCCTTTGTTCCACCAAGCCCTACATCTGGGGACATCCTTGAAGGTGCATTCCTGACACCATTCCGACTCAATAACAATCCCATAGATACATTCTTGCAGACTATGCGGTTACCCAGTCCCATCTCACCATCATTGACCTCATTTACTGCACCTGATGACTCCCCTGCCTTCTTCCCAGACATGTCTGGTCCCACTCTTGATGAAATACACCAGCTAGCAGATGTTACAGCATCGCAGCTTGCACCATCTTTGATGCCTGGTCAGAGTCAAACTAAAGCAGCTGAATTTGAAGCTCAAAGTGCTTCTGTTCTTCAACAGAAGGTGAAGAAGACATTAGATTTCTTGTCTTCAATCGACTTGACACTGCTGGATTTTTTTTCTGCTCTTGTGAGCCCATGGAACTCCGGAAACGTCTTCACGGATTTTCAAAAGCATCTTTTTTGCTCCTCATCTAAACGTTTTGAGGGTCTGCTTGACCTGCTGTGGTCGCACCCAAAGGCAAACAAAAAGTTCATGAACTGGATGTATCCACATGGTCTTCGTCTTGTGTTAGACCGTGTATATGATGAGATGGACAATGTGAAGGAGCACTTCAGTATGACATCCAGCCTTGTAACGCCGGAGTTTCTATCATCATGGAATATTCAGGATGCGCTCTCTGCAGTGAATATGACGTGACTATTTCCAACTTGGTCAAGGATTTTAGAGGCGGTGACACAAAGTAAAAAGGTGGAGAAGAACCACATATGAACTCCAGAGCTGGCAAGTTCACAAACTGTATTCATTGTCCATAATATTCATTGCATCATCTAGGGATGTAAAATTGTTACAGTGCAGGTCCTCCATCTTCACTCTGCCAACTGTGCAAAGTTTCAAACCATTGTTGGCCTTTTTGCATGGGCTAGTGGCTGTTCTCACCAGGTGATCGAATTTCTGAGTCGATGTGGTGCATACAATACCATTAAAGTCTTGGCAAATAGATGCATTGATAAGGCACGTTACATTGTCCTTTTCCGACCACATGCACTTGCTATTGATAATATCAACCTCAAGACGAGCCTCTTTGTCAAGCAAACTGGATCGGACTCTACTCCCAATAAAGTCCAGTCAGGAATGTTTTCTGTTATTTATGAGCTTCATGGTGTTACAGACACAAACCATATGCTTCTGTCTCCCATTCTCTCTCGTCTGCAGGCTGCACAACCCTTCTTAATGGCAGATTTCCGACCCACCACAACTCAACGTCAAATGTACTTATCACAGACCTCTGTTAACATCATCCGAACCCTTCTCAGCTATTCTCCTGCGTTTTCATCCTACAAACATGCCTCAGCCATCTGTAACATTGCACGATGACCATTGCCAGCAGATCTTGTTACCAGATTTCACCCACTCCATGTATCAACCATTGAAGAGGCATCTGTTGAAGGAAATCTCCATGTTCATGATGACATATATCTCATGCAGCTACAGCTACAGCCTGCAGATATGAATACTTATGCTATTCCACTCATAGCTGATCAGCTCACTAATAAATGCACTCGAGGATGTGTAGCTCTTCGTGCAGGTGACTTATCACCATGGCACCAGTGACAAGTCTTTCAGATTGGCATTGGTCTATTCCATCTGCAAATGAATCTTGCCTGGTGTTTGTTGAACAAGCATCGCCATTCAGAGGATCAGATAGGGAGCCTCGCATATTTCTTCACCATCATGAACAAGAAACGACTGAATGGCGAAAAACCGGATTATCATACACTTACAGCAGCTCTTTCACAGATCTGTCATGGCCTTGTCTTGAATGCTTGGCTTGCTAAGTGTGGGAAGGCTGACCTTGATGAATTTGCCAGGTCAAATCCAACTCCACACCAACTACATACTATTGCGAAGGAGATTCTCCTGGAGTTAGCGACTCCATTGGATACATGCATGGACAACGGAGAGTTGGAACCCAATGAACTCAACCCCACCGATGATCCTATCCACCAGAACACTCGACTTCTTCTATGAGATCTGCTATATTTCGAGGAAATTGCAAATGCAATTTCATCCGGTGACTTTGGGCGTATCAAGGACATCCTCCCTGATATTGCTTGTATATTTTGAGGTGGGGGATCAAACAACTACTCAACAGAGATCCTTTGCTAAATCAGCTACATAGTGATGTGTTCCCTTTCTCAATGATTTGGTCTCTGCTTGGTCATGCTACTCTTGGTCTCTGGTTGCTGTACTTTGTCTATGGCTCTCTCCTCGTTTCTCGATATGTTTGCTGGTCTTCTATGCTTATCCTGTAATATCTCCTCTTTCTGCTGAATGTCATGTATTTGTGTCTATGAACAGTGAAGTCAAGCAAGCATATAAGTTATTACAGGTATATGAGTGTCATGAACTTGATGTGAACAGCAGCGTTCTTCTTGGATCGAGCTCACCATATCTGAACATGTGATCCTTGCAGTGAGTAGGAAGATCGCATCAGAGATCCCCTGAACATACGAGAAGGGTCTGGATTGTGCTCAGATCGTGTGCAGTTCAGGTCAATGGGAGGTCAAAAGTCTGGGGCACCTGGGCCAGGTTGTCCTGATCGGTGCCGATTGCCCAGACCCTGTGAGGTGAAGGAGATTGCGAGTGGTGGGGATGATCTGTACCTGGTCTCGAGGCTGAGGTTTTGGCAGTGTTCACTGCAGAGAGCGCATCCTGAATATTCCATGATGATAGAAACTCCGGCGTTACAAGGCTGGATGTCATACTGAAGTGCTCCTTCACATTGTCCATCTCATCATATACACGGTCTAACACAAGACGAAGACCATGTGGATACATCCAGTTCATGAACTTTTTGTTTGCCTTTGGGTGCGACCACAGCAGGTCAAGCAGACCCTCAAAACGTTTAGATGAGGAGCAAAAAAGATGCTTTTGAAAATCCGTGAAGACGTTTCCGGAGTTCCATGGGCTCACAAGAGCAGAAAAAAAATCCAGCAGTGTCAAGTCGATTGAAGACAAGAAATCTAATGTCTTCTTCACCTTCTGTTGAAGAACAGAAGCACTTTGAGCTTCAAATTCAGCTGCTTTAGTTTGACTCTGACCAGGCATCAAAGATGGTGCAAGCTGCGATGCTGTAACATCTGCTAGCTGGTGTATTTCATCAAGAGTGGGACCAGACATGTCTGGGAAGAAGGCAGGGGAGTCATCAGGTGCAGTAAATGAGGTCAATGATGGTGAGATGGGACTGGGTAACCGCATAGTCTGCAAGAATGTATCTATGGGATTGTTATTGAGTCGGAATGGTGTCAGGAATGCACCTTCAAGGATGTCCCCAGATGTAGGGCTTGGTGGAACAAAGGATGAGGAGACAATACTAGGAGTATGTGGACTGGGGAGGGAGCTCGAACGGGTTAATGGTGTTGGGGGAACATGGAAAGCTGGAGCAAATGTTCATCTTGGTTGCCGATGGCCAGGTAATGAGAATACTGTGCTAGATGATGCTACAGGGGTAACAGGGGAGGGCTCAAAGCCGAAACTGGTTTGGAAGACATTGGAGAATGAATTTGCTTCCTCGTTGGGGGAAGACATGCCTCTGTTGTTGGTGAAAAAAGAATTAACACAAACGCAATGCGGTTCTCAATCAAGGGACAGGCAGTTCCCAATTAGGTATATAATTCTAATTAGGAAGGTATGTGATAAGCAAAAATGTATCAGCCAAATTTGAGCTCAGATTTACAGGTCATCTTGATCGTGAGCTTGCCTCCCATTCAAGACAATCAGTTACAGGTCTAACTCATTGATGCCATCAGTGCTGTCTCCTGCTGGTGCCTTAATTGGATGATCAAATTATGTACTAGAACAAAATCTTAAAGTTCTGATAACATTCTATTGATGAGGGCGGTACGTATGAGTGAAATACCTAGCTTCTCTTTCTGGTACAATTAGGTGTCCATCAGTAAGCAGCAACACACAAACACCAGAGAACTGCTCACCTCACAGCCCTTAATCTACTTCGGGGGGGCAGTGTGCAGCGGTGACAATGGCTTGAGCTACCATACTTGAAGCTGCCCTGTTGTGCAGTCGTTTATTCCACTGCATCAAGCTGCATCGATATGATGCACCTTTGCTCCATCTGTCACATCCAGTTTGGATGGTAGTGAAGATACACGAGGCTGTTCACAGGGCAGAGCAGCGAGAAATGCCACAAAGATGATGGGAACCGTCAGGCAGTGATCGGCAAGCATACATACTGTGATACAACATTCAATGGTCAAAAAAGCATGGAACGATTGATACTCACACCTCGCTCGTGTTCAAAAGATTGTCACGTTGAAGGGCTGGAAGCTCTCCTCCAGCATTTTAGTTGGGATCATTCAGCCTGTTCGCAAATGGTGCAACTATATAAGTAAATATCAGATGATCTTCAAGGAAGAACAGTGGTAGCAGACGTACCATCCAAGCCGGATTCCACGCTCGACAGCCAAACAAATTGCAGTAACAAATGATCTCTTGGACAGCAGAATGATCATTAGCATGAGCTCCATGTCCTTCTGGCATAGTTTCTGATGTGTTCATGCCAAGAATACTGGTCAGAGGAAAGCGAGCGAACTCAAAGAGCATATATGCTAGGAATCAAGGCTCAACGGTAAGACCACCAGAAGAGAGAAAATTCATGTTCACATTGCTGTACCAGGATATAGCATACTGAGATGCAAGGGGGTTGCAAAAACTGAAAAAATCATATCGGGTCGAAAAAATTTTTAAGGCCTCTGATGGACCGACAGACCGACCACCATGGGGAAAACATACCCACAAGGGAAACATTATGTAATCATTCTGTGTCAGGACCACCTGCCAGCACGAGCTTTCCGTCTACTTAGTCCTCTCATCCTTGATCTAAACGATGATGATATACAATTTTTGTCTGTTAGCGATGGCGTTTTCCTACTGTACATGACTGACACTTCCAATTTGGGGTCTGTCAAACTCGACCAAATATTTTTACAACTGGTAACTCAATACTGACTAATCCTGCCGATATCCAGCAGCATGCCATTGGTGCTTTGAGCCTTCAACATCGTTGACTGCTTTTCTGGTGTTCTTTGGGCCATGTAAGATCATTACCATGCATATATCAGCTGAAAGAAACATCTCTAGCAGCATCTAGGGTCTTTGAATGCTATTTTACAAGAGGGGATGAAAAAATTTTAAGGACCTTTTGGACCGACCGACCGACCCGATGTGCCAGCTTGCTGGGCTGCAACCCCCTTGCTGAGACGCGCTGCAACTGTCTGTGTAAAGGCAGTCCAACCTCAACCTGAATTGTTCCCCTGCACTGAGCTATTAGCACGTCTCTCAGGAGGAAAAACAGCATTGTACCCTTGGAATTACTGGACAAAATTATGAGATCTCATGCGGTCTCATGAGGTCACACGAGATCTCATGGGGCCATGTGAGATCTCATGAGACCACGTGCGATCTCGTCCCAAAAAAATTTGGTCGGCACAGCTATTTGGTAGCTCACCTACCATAAAAAGACAGCAATAAGGTACAGTCAGCGAATCATGTCACAGTGGTCACAATGGCCAGACTGGACAATCTCATTACTTTCCCGGCAGGGCGCTATGAAAATCTTTGACATTGGTAAAAGAAAATAACATATAATTAAATTGAATTTATTTTTATTCTTCTGAGGTCTTGCGAGATCTTGCACTGTTGCCCAATGCCCCCTAGCATGCAGAGTGAATCTCAGCCACTCCCACTGTCTGCTCTCTTTCGTAATTCTCAAACAGCCCATTGACGTCCCAAACCTGTATCACAAGCCTATCCTGCTAACACACTCTCAGCAGCTGGTCCCACTGCCACTGGTCCCACAACAGTATCCACCAGCATCCAAGCCCCTGTCCCACGACGCAATCCGGTAGCCACTACATCACCTCTTTGCAGGCTCACCACCGCTGGTCTACTTCAGGAAAACACCCCAAGGCCCAATACTCAGGCGGTCACTCTTCCCCAACCTTTCGTCAGACCTGAAACCTCCGTCACTGGCCTGCTATCCCATGGGTTCAACTAGAACGCGTTCCTTGGAATGCTTCCCACATCATCGAGAAACACTGCCTTCATTGGATCCAACACGACAGGGCGTAAGAAAGCATCCACCATGCAAATGGCATGGGGACATGGCGAAGCACCTACATGTCACGTTCTCATCTATCCCTTTCTCAGTCCAGAGCATCGTCAACAAGCCATCAAAGATGCAGATCCTAGCATTCAAACTGGATACCCACTCCCCCAGTCTGACATATACCATCTCGAGCATGTCGACGTCGCACTGTTTCAGGAGCACATGCAAAAGCTTGATCTTTGCATCACCTTCTATGCCAATGCTAACAACAATTACAGGATGATTCATGATAAACTTCTCATGCATAATGCAACAGCTGGGAAGCCCCAGATCCCTGGCCTCAAGACTGACGACCTGGCTAACCTCAGCTTTCAAAACATGGGCTGGTGTTTCCTACAGCTCATGTCCCACAAAGGGGATCCATCTCTTCTCATCATCAACAAGAAACTTAATGAGGGTCAGGCCACAATTGACCATTTCATCCACCACGCAAGCCTGGAGTCCAAGTTTCTGCCCAAATGTGGCAAAAATCATTCAGCTGTGCTTGGTCAGTTTACCCTGGTGATTGGTATGTCTGACCACACAACTACCTGACTGCAGGTGATATTAACTCACAGAAAATATTTCCAGCTCTGACCTGAGGCCCCATCTGCCACAATCTCCTAAACAGGAACTTGTATGTGGGCGATTTTGGACCACGAGGAATGCCTGACATGCTCAGAGGAGGAATACATGCCTGCTTCTCAGAGCATGTGATGCACACTCTCTTGTTTGTCATGTGACAGCGGGGTGGCAGTTTAGATGAGAACTCCTTGCCCTGCCTACATGCATGCAGAGGGTTGCCACCCAATCATCTTACCCCCGAGCTGACGATTACAGCAGGAATCCCTCTTTGTCCCCAACTTACTGACGACGCCACTTCACTGGTGGCAGAACCCCCGGTCGCCCAGGTGCATGACAATGTCACTATATGAGTGTGATGTGACCAACCTGATGGTGACCCAGCCCAACATACAATCCACCAAGCGGCCTGCTGAGTCCAGGTCACCATCACCTGATCACAGTCGCATGCGCCCACTTTTGCCAATTGACTCATCAGCGCAATTGCCCCCCCTGCCATTGCCTCCCCCTTACTATGCCGGAGAAATCTGGCCATTACCTGATGATGCAGAGTGGGCACAGGGTCATCCCATGTACATCTCCCGTTTGTTGGAGACCGTGATCTCCCTGCTCCCTGACACAATATGCCTGATGGGACCCAATGTCGGATCTCTCGCTGACGCAGTGCTCAAGCTCTGCAGGTTTTACATGATGGTTGCATGGGATAAGAACAACAAAACATTTTTCCGGAAGATAGAGGGCCTTCTTAAACCACAATTCGATTCCCCCAACATCCATTGTGAAAATTGGGATGAGATTGCCAAATTCAGGAACATGAAAATCACTATACTCCCGAGCCAGAGCCATGGGGATGGTATTAATAAAATGGTCTTCAGGGAGGCGTTGAGGAGGGCTCTCGAAAATACCAATCTATACACTTCCCTTCCCAATGACTCCAGTTACTTCACAGCCACCTTTTGCATGATGGAGTGCACGGAGAGGGAAACTCATCAATGGAGAGCGCAAGGTCTCCTGCTCGCTCTCTGTTCTGTTACCTTTCGCATGCCACCACTGCCGGTGTCTCCTTTTCTCCTTCTTGCATTGTTAACTCCACAGGGACGATTGGCAGAAACATTGGATCTGCTAACTGGACCTGTTGTGAAGGCATTAGATCCCGCTATGGAAGATTTCATGTGACCGTGGCTCAGCTGCAGGCTTACAGATCCTCTGACCATGGAACCACCTCATCGACATGAAAGAGATCAGAGGTATTTGTGGGTTTCACATTTCTGTGATCCTCATTTAACTGTATGTCCAACACTTTACACCACATCACAATCACACCTGACATCTGCCCTTCTCAGCCTTATGATGTTGGATTTAAGCAACCGGATCCGGAAAAGTCAAAACTCCAAAATAGATTGGTGTTGAAGCTTATATTGTTGTCCCATCTGCTCACCGACTGGAGCAATGGAATTAATGCCATGAGGCAGGGATTTGGGTACAATTTTGGTCATAATGATTATCTGCAAGGCCTGGTGCGTTCCACCATTCTCGGCATGATGAGAAGATAAGCCAACAGAAAATGTCACAGCCTGAACTTTTTCGTCGAGAGCTGCCCAACCTGGCAAATTTATTGCTTTATCTTCACAGGATGTATGATTGAAGCATCCATTCAGCACAGGACCTTCTAGACCTGATCCAGTTTGACCATGGCTATGTCAGGACAGATGCCTTTTGTTCAACGCCTTGTGATTGGGGTTATGAGATGCAGCCGAATGGTGCACACCTCCCTCTTTATGAATGCATGACGTGAGCCATCACTGACGAATTGCGGAGATACCTTAATCAAGACTTGGAACGCCATGGGCCACACTTCCTAGTGATGGCAACCAGTCTGCCATATATGCCTGCAGTGCCCGAGGAGAGGATCAAGGTGTGTGCTTCTCGCTTAGTGTGGGTTCTCTGGCGTGATTCTCCCCCACCCCGGTGGTACTGTAGTTCATCTTGCATGCCTCAGAAGACTTCCAACCACCTTCACAGTTATTCCGCACAAGCACTTGCTTCAATGTCATCAGGCTCAAGGTCGACATGGCCTTGTGCAGCCTACTTGCTGGACAGGCAACACCACTCTTCCCGAATTTTGAGGCGTGCTTGGACTTCTGGTTGTTCGACGATGATCAGATCATTACGCTGGTTTAAGGCATCAATGTTACATCACCATGTCACACTACCAGTGGGTTGGTCACACACATTGTCACGTCGTATTAGATAATACCTTTAATAAAGTTGATAACTGTCGAGGATGGTGTCGCAGAAAACAAGCACAGGCACAAGATTGCATGGCCAACACCTTAGTAGGGTGCCTCCCACTCTGTGACGTCCTTGTAGTAGCCCCCAGCTGCTGACAGCATCCTTGCATGCTCAGGATAGTCCTCTTCATCCATTGGCATGTGTGGCAATATATGTGGCAAACATGGTGCATGGCCAAAAGTAACATAGAAACTGTTGCAGTAAAAAGATGCAAGGTCTTGCTCCAAAGTGATCACCATTTCCTCCGTGTATCTGCTCTTGTCCAACAGGATGGATGGGGGACATCCTCTCCATTGGCTCATAACCTGACGCATGGAGCACAAGTACAGAGCCCGACACATCCACCCAGGTTCCCCAATACCATGGTGAGCCTCTGATAGGTGTACCACCCAACAGTGATCATGCTGCCCCGGTGGAAAACAGTGGCCTAAATGGCGCAGATGCTTCTGCACAGCCGATGATGAGCCTCAAGGCTCTGTACGCTCAGAATTCGCGGATTTTAGCATTAGAATAAATGCCTTGTCCACTTAGCGGACTTTCACTAAGTCAACGATTGCAATCACAGCAATACCCACTCTTACTGCCAACTATCCTTCCCAGCTCGTATTTCGTATCAATCTGCGCCACTTCATTAATGCTGCCAGGCACCTGATTGCAGATCTCATGGATTTAGGACCATCATTGATTGCCCAGCACAGCCATCAATGACATCAGCATCAAGCATCATTTAGAAGAATGCCACAGTCAAAGTACCAACTCCATGGCAAAAGACCTAATACCGTGACCTTTCCACTCACTTTACTAAGGCTGTTACAATGCCAAGATAATGCCGCATGCATCTACTTCAGTGTACTACCTTCAGTGTACTTTGCCACAGCAACACAGCAGCCCAAGAGTCCGTATGTCAGCAGAATTCTTTCTGATCACCAAGTCTATATGCGGTAAAACCGTGTGGGTGCTGTTACTTTAGAACTCTGGGAGCACACGTTTTGTATCATTTCTTACCAATCTATGTACTAAGGACTTACTAAGGACTCGTTTCAAGTATTCTAAAATTATTCCGGACTTGTAGTATAAAAACTAGTGTAGTAGTAGTAGTTGCAGGACACAAGTTATTGGACACTAGCTATCATCCACATTATCGACCACCATTATTGCTTGTACTCGCTAGGAGATAGACAATAACAACATAGTCACTCCAAGTTATACTCTCTGTCACAGCTTTTCTTCTAACGGTATTGGTGTACGCTCATATTGCACCAATACACGGAATTTCATGTCCACAACTCGCTTTTATCTTTTAATCCGCCAGCATCGTTTCACTTTCACCAGCCAGGATCGTTTTCATCAGTTTTCACCTTCTATGTCACCATCGTTTTACCCAGCTCAGTTCAGGATCGTTACATCCCTGTGTGGACTCAGATTATGCAGCCTGGTCTGCTAGATTTCTGTTTGAAAGGTGTTAGTTGACAGTTAATTGTGATACATCAGGAGTGTCAGTTTACATCCAGCCCATATACAGTAATTCCATCAGGATGACAAAGTGGCTTAGTAAGCTTCCCAATCTGTGTCAATGATGGCATCATTAGAAAAGAGGGCAATTCCGGGAATTGAACCCGGGACCTCAAAAATAAATCCAATAATGTCACATGACTTTCCCGAGCAGACATACTAACCACTACACCACACTGGCATTATATATATATCTTTTCATATCTATATATACCCTCCCTCCCTTAACATTTATGACCTCATATTGATGCCCTCCCTTTGCTCCGCTCTGGTGCGCTCTTTTGCCTTTTTAGGCTCCCCAAATCAGCCCATCAATTTTGGCTGGATCCAGTGGCAGTGCCGCATTTTTAATACCCAAAATAGGGGCTATTTTCCGGTCAAAACAGCTATTTGGGCTATTCTCAGGCTACTGGCTGGGCCAGGGGATGGCACTATAATCTGTATATACATAAACAACATAAAACAGAGCCCTCTAATGATACATAGGAGCCCTGGATAGTGGGATAAAAGGGTAATATAATGAAAATCACATAAATATTCGCTTTTGGGGGCTGCTGCATGCATTGGATCGGCTGGAGGACTTCACCAATCGATTCCCTGACCTTGAAAACACCCAAACGACCCCTCCACAGTACTTTTGGCACACTTTATTCCTGGAGATAAACGAAAATATTCGCTTTTTAGGGTGCAGCATGGTCCAGATCGCTTTGAAAACATTACCAGTCGATTCCTATGCTATAAAAACCCTAGAATACATCCTCCTTCGTAATATAGGTCCAGTATAATACAGTATAAAAGGGGGTATTAGGGGGCATACATCGCTTATTTTGTTTTTCGCACTTCGGATGGCCTGGGGAGCATCACCAATGGATTCCCTGATATTAAAAACCCCAAAACGACTCCAGCCTTCATTTATAGGGTCTCAGAAACAACAGAAATAATGATATTACAGTTTAGGGGGAGCACATATAATAAATCCTGTTTCTGGGCTTCGGACCACTTCGGAGTTTTTTCCATTATGTTTCCTGACCTGAATAACACTCAAATGACCCCACAGGACAAAGGAAACCGTCAGAAATACGTGACAAAAAGAGTAATAGGGGGATGGAGGAGACATACCTTATTTTTCACATTTCTAATAGTTAGGGAGGGTATTCTTGTTATATAACAGACTGTATATATTGTACAATGGTGTGTACGAAGCCCCATGGATATCTGAAATGTATTGAATGAGATATGAGCAGATCATTCTGTAAAACAGGAGGAGCACATCCCATATTTCCATGTTCTGCTCATTCTATGGCCTGGGGACTATCAGAATCGGATTCCTTGACCCAAAAAACAGTAGGGCCACCTATCATCCATGGTATTCAGATGTTCAAACTCCGAAATACAAGATGTTCTCTCATTTGTCACTTATATTGTCCTGTAGCTACATATGGCTGTACGTGTTATCTGGGTAAAATGGCTCCTACGGATGATAAGTGCCTCTACTGTTTTTTGGGTCAAGGAATCCGATTCTGATAGTCCCCAGGCCATAGAATGAGCAGAACATGGAAATATGGGATGTGCTCCTCCTGTTTTACAGAATGATCTGCTCATATCTCATTCAATACATTTCAGATATCCATGGGGCTTCGTACACACCATTGTACAATATATACAGTCTGTTATATAACAAGAATACCCTCCCTAACTATTAGAAATGTGAAAAATAAGGTATGTCTCCTCCATCCCCCTATTACTCTTTTTGTCACGTATTTCTGACGGTTTCCTTTGTCCTGTGGGGTCATTTGAGTGTTATTCAGGTCAGGAAACATAATGGAAAAAACTCCGAAGTGGTCCGAAGCCCAGAAACAGGATTTATTATATGTGCTCCCCCTAAACTGTAATATCATTATTTCTGTTGTTTCTGAGACCCTATAAATGAAGGCTGGAGTCGTTTTGGGGTTTTTAATATCAGGGAATCCATTGGTGATGCTCCCCAGGCCATCCGAAGTGCGAAAAACAAAATAAGCGATGTATGCCCCCTAATACCCCCTTTTATACTGTATTATACTGGACCTATATTACGAAGGAGGATGTATTCTAGGGTTTTTATAGCATAGGAATCGACTGGTAATGTTTTCAAAGCGATCTGGACCATGCTGCACCCTAAAAAGCGAATATTTTCGTTTATCTCCAGGAATAAAGTGTGCCAAAAGTACTGTGGAGGGGTCGTTTGGGTGTTTTCAAGGTCAGGGAATCGATTGGTGAAGTCCTCCAGCCGATCCAATGCATGCAGCAGCCCCCAAAAGCGAATATTTATGTGATTTTCATTATATTACCCTTTTATCCCACTATCCAGGGCTCCTATGTATCATTAGAGGGCTCTGTTTTATGTTGTTTATGTATATACAGATTATAGTGCCATCCCCTGGCCCAGCCAGTAGCCTGAGAATAGCCCAAATAGCTGTTTTGACCGGAAAATAGCCCCTATTTTGGGTATTAAAAATGCGGCACTGCCACTGGATCCAGCCAAAATTGATGGGCTGATTTGGGGAGCCTAAAAAGGCAAAAGAGCGCACCAGAGCGGAGCAAAGGGAGGGCATCAATATGAGGTCATAAATGTTAAGGGAGGGAGGGTATATATAGATATGAAAAGATATATATATAATGCCAGTGTGGTGTAGTGGTTAGTATGTCTGCTCGGGAAAGTCATGTGACATTATTGGATTTATTTTTGAGGTCCCGGGTTCAATTCCCGGAATTGCCCTCTTTTCTAATGATGCCATCATTGACACAGATTGGGAAGCTTACTAAGCCACTTTGTCATCCTGATGGAATTACTGTATATGGGCTGGATGTAAACTGACACTCCTGATGTATCACAATTAACTGTCAACTAACACCTTTCAAACAGAAATCTAGCAGACCAGGCTGGTATGGCGAGAAGCCCATGGCTGAGTGTTTCCGATTGTTGTGAGTAAAGGCGGCGAGCGGTAGCCACTCGCTCCAATCGTCCTGGCGGTAGTTGACGAACATTTTGAGGTACTTCTCAATTTCTTGGTTGACCCTCTCTGTCTGTCCGTCCGTCTGAGGGTGGTAGGCCGTCGAAGGATTTCCGGTGACCTGAATGAGGGCATAGAACTCTTTCATGAATTTCGAGACGAAAACAGTGCCCCAGTCTGAGATAACCTTTTCCGGCAACACTCCGTAGGGTACGTAGACATGATCTCTCAATATCTTGGCAAATCCCAACGAGGTGAGCTCTTCTGTGCACGCAATAGGAATGATGGTCTTGGAGAATCTGTTGACGATCACTAGAATAGAGTCGAACCCCTTCGAGTTAGGGAGTTTGGTGATCATGTCGACTGATATATGGGTCCAAGGGCGAT